TGGCAGCTCTAGCCTCGCTGGCTGTGATGCCGTGTTTAAGTTGTAACCTGTTGTTTGAGTTATTAAACCAGCATTAAACCTATACGATAAATGTTATTGTTCTTACGACGGAGACATAACAATTAGTGTCAGAAGTGGGATGAACTGCTTGAACGTCTGAAAGGGGGTCGACATTTTACCAGGGTTGACCTTGCCGATGCGTATTTGCAACTGGAGCTGGAGGAAGAAGCTCAAGAGCTCTGTGTAATAAACACACCCTGGGGACTTTTCAAGTATACTCGGATGTGTTTTGGAATTGCATCGAGTCCAGCGCAGTTCCAGCGTTGCATGGACTCGTTGATCGGGCAGCTTCCTGGTGTAGCTGCATACCTAGATGACCTAATCATTACAGGTCGTATACAGAAGCAGAACACTGGGAGAATTTGGAAAATCTTCTAAACCGCCTTCAGGAGTTTGGCTTCCGGATTCGTTTGGAAAAGTGTGAATTTTTCATGAAGTCGGTCGAGTACCTGGGACATGTAATAGGTAGCAATGGGATGACTCCATCTAAGTCATCAATTAAAGCTGTCGATCAGTTGCCACGCCCGAAAAGTTGCCAAGAAATCCAAGCATTTATGGGGAAAATAAACTACTATGACCGCTTCATAGCCGATCTGTCAGAAAAGGCTAGACCACTGTATGCCCTAATGCGGAAAAACGCAAAGGTTGAATGGAAGCAAGCCCAAGAAAAAGCTTTCCAACTGCTTAAGAGGGAAGTCATTGATGCAACACAGTTAACGCACTATGATGACTCTAAACCCCTCATCTTAGCAATTGATGCATCGCAGCATAGAATTGGAGCGTTGCTATTGCAATTGGAAAAGGGAGTAGAATACCCTATTGCGCATGCATCAAAGACCCTAAACGAACATCAGGTAAAATATTCGCAGATAGAGAAAAAGGCTCTGTCAATCGTTTATGGGGTGACGAAGTTCAGACAATTTCTGTACGGCAGGAGATTCTCGCTGAAAACAGACCACAAGCCTCTTGTTGCCATATTCTCTCCAGACAAGAACGTTCCAGTGTTAGCAGCACAACGGCTTCAGCGTTGGGCAATTACGCTTAATTATGTCCTATCAGTACGACATTTGCTACAAGCCAAGTGCACAGCATGGTAACGCAGATGGTCTTTCGCGTTTACCGATGGGACCGGATGTTATATCCGATAAATAAATAAGAGAGAGAAGAAAACATCGAAATTGTACACGCTATCATGAGCCGCGTTCACACGTAGAAGTGAAGAAATCCGGTATTTAGCGTTCACACGAGGCAAAATACGAGGCCCAAGAAATCCGGTATTTAGCGTTCACACGAGGCAAAATACGAGGCCCAAGAAATACGGTATCTAAACAGATCCGGTATTTCATGTAAATACGAGGCTTCCCAGATCCCGAATAATTTGCCGTGCTTCAGAAATACCGGATTTCTTGGACCGCGCATTTCCTCGTGTGAACGTTAAATACCGGATTTCTGAAGCCGCGTATTTTATAGACTGGTCCGCGCTCGACAGTTCCAGTGTAACGCGAGTGGAACTGACGAGCGCGNTCCGACCACTATGATACTTACTGGCATTGCGTGTGTAATAGCAAGTGTATAAACTTACGCACTGGTGACGTCATTTGCGCGCGCTATCTTAGAATGCGCTGCGAGCCACTCCAACATTCACTCCGTGCTACAACAACAGCGGCCATTTCGAACTGTTTGTACATCTGATATTTCACTTATTTTCACAAGTTCGTGTGAACGTTCCACTTGAAAAAACCACACTAAGACCTAAATGACATATCCATGTAATAATCCATGTATAACTGTATGTCCATGTAATCCATGTAATGTGTCCATGTGTATGTACATGTATATCCATGTAATAATCCATGTAATAATCCATGTATAACTCTGTCTGTGACGGAACGACCCGGTTCCATGCTCAATAACTGAGAACGTACACGACACACAAACGGCCCTACGATCTTATATAGACATATCGTGTTACAAACAAGTATATTTATATGCCAACTTATAGAATACTAGTTATTCAATAATATTTATTTCTAAACTTGCCGCAAATAATTGTCACCCTTAGCCATCTAACACGTGAATTACAGAATGTTCCAGTATACCATTGTGGGTGCATTTATGTGGCTTGGTGATTTTTTATTTGTTACGTGCACAGTCTAACCACAGCAGGGCCTCGATACGCTGACAACACGGAATAAATTACAATCGTACGTCATAGTAACCCAACTCCTTACTCGTAAAATTTTAATATGTAAATAGAATTAATTAATTCAACCTACTTATTAAGTTAATTAACAATATTGAGCAAGGTGCTTATGATAAATAGGTCTAGATCACACATGAATGTTTCCGCTCTCATCGTTGTTGCTAATAGACGACATTACAGACATATGACTATTAGAAATGATATATTTTGCTAATCAATTCTTTCTCGTGGTTGTTCGATAAAGTGCATCTGCTCGTTAGCTTGCATGTACTCAGGGGGCGCCACTTGTCCTTGCGCGAGACGCTGGTGCCAGTAGTCGGACCGGTATGGCTCCACAGCAGGACCCCACTCATTAGCTGGTTGCATGCCTCTACGGAGTCGCTACAAAAACACAACACCTTTAACTATCGTAC